CAAGATATAGAAACATCTTGCGATAGTTTACAAGTTCATCAATTTCTTAATTTTGATCTCACAACAGAAAAACAAAAATTCATTTAATCAAACTATGATTAATAACACATCATGATGCCACATTAACAAAATGTACTTTTGGTGAATTTTTCTTTTTCAATCCTTTTAGCTGTATATTCTTCAATTTTTAAGTTATGATATACTTCTTCGAAATATAATAACATATTGTAAAAGTTTCAAGTTCATTACTTTTTTTTGTTGTTTTTAACAAGTAATTAACAGAACCCTTAATACCACTGAGAGGATTACTTCCAAATGGTAAGCAAACAAAACACGTGGGATTAGAAGCCTTTTCTTTTCGGACATCTCATTCAGATACAATATATATTATGATTAAGATGTCTAGATTCTTGACACATTCTCCTTTTACAGATCACAGATAAATTCCAACTCGGAGATTCTGTGACATGTGGATTAGACCATTACCATAAACCATATCATAAATAGATGGTTTTTCTTGAGACACAATACCTAGTTTCACAGTTACAGTTCATCATTTCCCAACAAAGATTTTAATAGTATAATTTAAAAATGTTTATTAAGTTTAGTTTATGATATTTATAAGTCTCAAATTATATAAAGTGATAGACTATTTCATGAACAAGTACGTTACTACTGCTTGAAGATGGATTAAAACTAGCACTTAAATTTATTTGGTGTTATCTTAAGAAACTTCTTGTAAATGACTAATCTTTGCACTGAAAATATAGTACCTCAATAAAAATATGTTTTGTATACAATCAGACATTTCAAGTACTTCTTTAATGCTACATTTGTGTCTAAGCTCTTAACTTCACGTACAATGGCTGATCTGCATTTTAACATAAGTTTAGAACAGTTATTTGTTTATGGGTCTATGTGTTGCTTTCACATACATTTCATACATCAAAAACAATATTTTGACCATGTGGCACTATTTCAGATTTTTTCTGTTTGCAGCTACAATACTGCTTAATAGTTTGTTCTGAGTGTTATATATTTTCTACATTTAGTAACGGAAGTAAACAGCATTTTTTTTCTGTACTCGTTTGTCATACGGTTTTTAAAGTAAACAAGAATTTTTACTATGCTAAGCACAAACAGTTATTACGGCATTGTGAAATCAAGTTGATTAAAAAAGAGCTAAGTATTTAGTTCATAGTTATCTTACTGCCCACCAAAGTCACTATTTATACCAACTGTTCGTAGGTGTAAAGTAAATATTTCCTTTATATGTGAAAACACATTTTTTTATATTCTGCACCAAAGCGAGAATCTTTTCTCATTCAGTTATAGCAATGTAAGATACACCAACTGATTACCAGCAAATGTAAAGTTCTACTGTACATATTTCAGGTGCTTATATATTTACTCAGATGACATTCTACCAATACTTCTAATCCACTTCAAAATTTGTTACATGTACAGTGATAATATATTTGACCTCTTCTAACTACTCTGTTTTACTCCATATACATGACTCAAAGTATGCTTTTATTCTCTTCTTATCAGATATTACGAAGCACGAAGCAAACGTAACCTTACCTTAATGGGAAATCTGTTGGGCGCATTGGATTTGGCGAGTTCCCTGAGTAAGGAAAGGGGCGAAACGTGCCTCTGTTTCCACGGCTGCCACGATTTCCACGTCCTTGATCCATTATGAAATCCACTTTTAAAAGAGAGCCTTCAAATTCAAATCCGTTCAGCTGACTGAAAGCTCTGCAAGTTAAAATTGAAACTATAAATTAATTCAACAAACTCTAGCAAACAGAAAACTACTAAAAAAGCAAAAAAATAACTGTTGCCTTTGCTCCTTGCTATACAGCAGACTTATGTCTAATCTTAATACGAGTGTTCAATTCACAACCCAAAATCTTAGAAAATGGATTTCAATTTTTCAACAAGGGTTAATCAAATGCCCATAGCTCTGAATGTAAAGTGAAGAAATTAAATCAAACAAGCGTGTTCAGGAGGAGTGACTATGACACCTGTAACACCCACTTCATATTCTAACTAGTGAGTGGATTAAATATATGCATATATATTTCCACTGCCCCTATCTACTACCAAAACCACAGCCAATATAAAAATATTGGAAAAATACAAAACAAAGAAAGAAGGTTGGTATTTTAGGATTAGTTTTTATTTTTAATTTACAAGTGGTGAAACACTGAAAGACAAGATACAAGTTAAAGAATCTTATTTGGCCCCTGTTGGTTCCATTTGAAATTTTCAACAGTTTAATTCAGAAATGCTGAATATTAACAAAAAGTTGAATGCAGCAACCTCTGCCGAGAGCCCAATAGCTACAGGTATTCATGAACTTGTACATCAGTTCTTTATCTCCTTAATAGTTTACTTCCATCTCCTTGATTTATTGTACACACACTCAACAGTTAAAATCATCATACAAAATGCTATTTTGTTTGTAATATTCCTATAGATTGTACCAATTATCCAAATACTATATGCATACTAATTACCACTTTAATTATAGGTTGATAAGAATTTCATACTTTACAAACACCACTGTTTTATGCCTGCTAGCATACAATTTATCTTTTCGTAGCTTAGTTTTAAACTACTGTTTGTTAATAGAATGCTACTTTAAGCCAAAAATTGTTTTTGTAATGTGAAAGTGCTACTGTTTATAATATACAGTTCTAGGTAGTTAACTCTCCAATGATGTGGTTAAAACACTAGTAACAAAATGTACTTACTGCTGTGCTTGATCGGGGCTGTCATAAGTTACAAATATAGAGAAAAAATGTTCAGATTTTGCTGGACCTGAAAGTAGAACATGAATCAGTTTTCAAGAAAAGGCACGATGTTACACTACATATCAGTGCAAAAAAATAAGGGGGAAAAGTCGATATATCTTTTCGGACTGTTTCTCAAATATATCTATAGAAGTGAAGCTACTTTTTTAAACACAGTTAAAAAAACTGACACCAACAAAACTTGTTGCATTTCGTGTTTCAAAAGTCAAATAAATTTATTTATTCTGTGCTGAATGGTGTTTATTCACGTAGATTAGTAAGTTACTTTTAAAACAATGTTGTCTTAACCCACTACATCAGTTCTTCCTTGTTGCGTTAACCTACTGACTGCTGATGTGCTGTAAATCGGGTACGGCTCACCTATGGCAACTGAATGCGAATGTGCCATATACGGTGTATGGTTTACAACAACCCTGTACCCGTTTAGAGCAGCTGCAGTCAATGGGTTAACTGGTTACATGAAGAAACTGAATATTCAGAACCATTCTGGACAGTCTCAAGTTTGGTAGGCACATAGAGTTATAAATTCCTGTTACAACTAATACATCCTGAAATGCTGCTTGTTGTTTTTCAAGTATACAAATTTTAAACACAGTTCTTAATGGTAGGTATATGCTAGATTTAAATACTTTGTCAAATTGGTGCCTCTACAGCAAATTACTGCTATACCTTTTGAGCTATAAAGTTAACATTTGGGCTGATTTTTTTAATGATCAAACAGTGATTAACATAAAGATACAAGTTATGGTTATCATCTTATAAAGTTTAGCTTTTGTTCTCCCTTAAAATAACTTTTTCTCTGTGATAATGTTAACTGCGTTTAAAAAAAAATAAACCAATACCAGTTAATTTTTATATTGTGTAGAACTTTTCTTATTTCTAAAGACAACCCAGTAACATATTCAACTGACTCATATTTTTTCTAAGAATAATGCTTTTGTAGCTTTGTGCTTTAGTGAATTATTCATAGTTCATTAATATGTTTTTTAAAACTAAAAACACAGAAAAAAAAGCAAAAAAAAAGGAACCAATTCTCAGGATATTACAAGTATGCATACTTGGCATTAAAAATACATTGTTTTACACCTTCATTTTATTTGCATCTTATATTTTCTAATAAAAAAAATCAAGTTTATTTATTATTCCTTAATGCTTAACCCCCCACCACCACCACCAAAAGAGCTTTATGTATTATTCCTTAATGTATGGTCCAACAAACCAACAGCTTGACTTATTCACAAGGTTAATTCTAAAATACCATAATCAGTTGTTTTTCTTTCTGAGGAAGTGTTTGACACAAATTCATAACAATAAAATTTTTTAAAAGATTTTTCAAACAATGAATTAAAAACTTGAGTACAATACCTTGATCACATTGGTGGACATCACCAAATGTTGCCAATAGTCTCTTAATGTTATCCCACTGGACATGGCTGGGAATGTTGCTAACCTGGACTTTATTAGTACGGGTTCTGTGAAAATAAAAATTAATAATAAAGAAATGTGCACTAGGAAATATGAATATTATAAATGTAAATTAAAAATTAAAGGCATAATTTACTTGTAGAGATAGACAAAAATCAACAATAAGCAAATGAAGACTGTACAACTGTATATACATACAAATATATATATATATATATATATATATATATATATATAT